ATAGGTAAATTTAAGCAGACCTAAACAATGAGCTAAGTACAATTTTGACACCTCAGGATACTATATCAAGCTTACAACTCATTAAAAAAATTCGAAATTCTTATGTAAATTGTCGAAACCAATAAAATTAATAATAATTGTCGAAAAATGCAAGATAGATTGGAACAGATTTTTGGCATAAATGTGCGAAAACCAAAATGTTTCAATATACAAACCGGAGGGCGGCCTCCTCAAGCTGATGATTTTGTCGATTTTCCAAGGTACACGTTAGCAGCTCATGATTCTGGCTGAGTAGAGTCTGAATTTGCAACAAGAGAGTCCTGTTCTCCTCTTCCAGTTTGCTTGCCATCTGTGTCAGGAGCTGGTAAAAGATTAGACAAAAATATAGTGGATGAAATGTAGGGAAAAAAGGAGAATGCGCAAGAATAAAGGTGATAAAACAAAATAATAATTAAAGAAGTTTTACTAGACTTGAAAAGGCTTATGCCGTACTGTCACGATTCGACTCCCGCTAGGAGTGTTGATAAGACCTAGGCGACATGGAAACTGCAGTCGACTCTATATGGGAACAACTTTTGGGAAAGCAAGGCTATGTGAAATTCAAGGTAAACGTCCGCTCTACTCAGATCATAGTGAGAAAATTCTACTACCAGTCCTTCATCGCCTTAAGCGAAATAGAGTGAATATATCTCATGTACCACAAGTATTTAGTGGGCATTTGGCTAAAGGATCTACCTCATTTGTCCCTTTGACCAGTTGTAGTGTGGAGCTAGTAATAGCAAGGCTCAGCGACGATGCCGGTGAAACGTCTGAGAAGGTACCAAGCCCACTGTCCGACTCTGAAAATCATCAGGTAAACTATAGACTTCAGACAAAGCGCGTTTCATATGGGTCTTACTGACATTATGAACAAGCTGCGAAAATTAGGTCAAATAACTTTTACACAATGAAGAGAGAACGTAACCATACTAAAGGCCACATCATCTTGGTCTTCCTAACTTCTATAATTATGATAATTCATAGTTTTAATTATTTATTCATTAGAGGAGAGTCGTCTTCATCTTATTTCGGCTAGATCATTTGTCAATACTAGAATACAAAAAAACTAAGAGACTTTGGGTGAAATGAAGAGTGTTGGCTACACTGGTGTCAAATTACAATTAACATGTACAGCGTGCCAAGATAAAGTCTTGTAAATGATTCTGAAAATTATATAGCTACTTGTGAAGAATGGGAAAAAAAACCTAAGGAGGTTAGCTCAGTCACACCAAACCAGCTGTTACCTCTAAGTGTGCTGTTGCTCTAGTAAGTCGAGCCTCTGCATCGGTCCGCCCAGTATTGGCTACCTCAAGCTGGGCAACAGCCGTCTCCCTGGCCGCCTCTGCCTCCATTAGTCGATGATGAGCCTCTCTTGCTGTCTTAACGACCCGTTCTGTTTCGAGGTGGGCACGATCGCGAGCCAAAGCCAGTCCAGAAGACTGGTCACGCAGGAAAGCTGCCTCTTCCCGCAGCAGTACCAGTTGCCGAGACTCTCCTGACAATTACGAACATTTATTTAAGATGAAAAAAACTATATATTGAGATACATAGCATCATTAAGTGATTTTATCCAAGAGCCCACATAGCATGAAAAATAATAAGCCAAAGATCTGAATTTAAATAGCATTCAAGTAACTGATTTGGAAGGTAAAACAATGTGAAGATATGCTTTCTTCTCAAAAAGTAAGATCATTTTCAGAAGGTTGGTGACCTTTTTTATTTAAAGGAGGAATAGTAACACCCAAATACAATATTTATCATGTCTGGCAAAATCTAGCCATACCAGCTTCACAGTCACTGACTGCATTATTGCGACAGCTTAAAGCAGATTTGTTTCTTCAGCTTGCCGCTCGTTATCTGGAAACCAGGCCTTGCAGATAAACATAATCTCTGAGCTAGTATCAGCACCTTAAGATGATTAAGGCTTGAAATTTGAATTTAGTTACAGACTATACTTATAGCGAGCCTTACACTAACTTCTTCAAACAGCCTGTCTATTTCTAATGCATTTGCCTACCTATCAATCCCTTATGATGTAGGCATCGCATTGAACACTACTACAAGTTATATTGGCTCAGAGTAGGTTTAGAAACTATCAGTAAATCTTAAGTAAGAGTTCCATTTGCCCTAGGGACATATTACTGATAAAACTCTAAAATACTTGTAGTAGTAAGTT